GGATAAATGAAAACATCACTTTCTTTGTGTTCTTTGGCCAACCAATGAACTACATGATTTTTCTGGGGAACACATGTTTTTTTGTTTGTTTGTTTTTGGTTTTTTTTGTAGGATTTATTTATTTTATATATATGAGTGCTCTATCAACTTTAGGCCAAAAGAGGTTATCAGATCCCACTACAGATGGTTGTGAGCCACCATGTGGTTGCTGGGAATTGAACTCAGGTCCTCTGAAAGAGTAGCCAGTGCTCTTAACTGCTGAGCCATCTCATCTACATCTGTAGTTTTTAATACGTTCAAACATGGCTCTCGTTTTCCCCAAGGCCTTCAAGGGAGCTCCTGTTTTCATTGTTCGTATGAAGAGGGACAGCAAACGTGATCGCCTCTGTGGACATCCGGGGCACTGCACACTGCCGCTCTGACAACCAGGAGGAATGGGGCTGCTGCTGCGTGTGGAGGTGTGGTCACCTCTGTGGCCATCCGGGTGGGGCCTCCCTGTGACAGAATGTTGACAGCGCCCAGTGCTGTGCTGGTGTTAGGTGGGTAACAGCAGTTCAACAGCTGTGAATTCATAAGCGAGGACGGCAGCTGGGTCATATCTGGAAGAAGGCTTTCCATAACATCCCCGTCCTCCAGCTCTTCCGTTCTCTCCGCCTCCTCTCCCATGATGCTCTCCGAGTCTCATTTAGGGCTGAACACTTAGCTGTCGGTTTTCTCAGCGCTTTCGCGGGTTATGCATCTCTGCAGTAACCACAACAGTATGATGCTTCTCCGACCAAGGCTGACAGTAACACTACATCAATATAAACCTAAATATTGGGCTAATGGGATGGCTTAGCAGGTAAAGGGGCTTCCTGCCAAGCTTGATGACTTGAGTGCAATCCCTAGGGCCCACATCGTAGGAGACAACTTATTCCCACATGTTGTTCTCTGACTTTAATGCCCGTGCTGTAGCATGTGTGTGCCCCCTACACACAAATAATTCAATGTAATAATGAGAAACCATAAATTTTTAGAAATAAATCCAAGGACTTTTAAGTACATTTAAGCGACTTTCCTCCCAATACGCTGTGGCCTTCTTAGCTATGGGCTTCTCACTAGATTAAATTCTCTCCTGTGGAACAGGTTCAGATTCAGTCTAGAAGTGGTCAGTTACCCATGGGTCATGCCACGGTTATCCCAGTGGGCACATCTTTCTTTCTTTTTTTTATGACCACATTTTCTTTCCTATTAAGATATTGATGGACGTCTAGTTTAGTTCTATTTCTTGGACATTGTGGATAGCCCAGCAGTGAACGTGGACAGGCAAGTTATCTCTGGAATGTGTTGTTGACCTAGAGTCCGTCTGGCATATACTCAAGAGTGGTATAATTGGCTCAAGTGTAGTTCTAGTTTCAGGGTTTTTTATTAAAAATTATTTTCATATGTACGAGTGTTACCTGCCTGTGTGCATGCACCACATGCATGCCTGGTGACTATGGAGGTCAGAAGAGGGTGCTGGATCCCCTGGAATTGAAGTTATGGATGTTTGTGAGCCACCATGTGGGTTCTGGGAACTGCCCATGTCTTCTGCAAGAGCAGTGAGTGCTCTTAACTGCTGAGCCGTCTCTCCTGCCCTCGGTTTAGCTTTTGTAGAGGAACCTCCATACTAACGTCCACAGAGCAGGTTTACTAGCAGTGCACATGGATTCCTCTTTCTCTACATTGTTGCCAGGACTGTCATTTGTTTTTATGGTAATAGCCATTCTGGCTTGCACCGCCATGGTAAGGGTGCTGAACACTTATTTGAGTATGTATTGGCTATCTGCATGCCTTCTTTGAGAACTGTCTGTTTAGTTCATTAGCTTGTTTTGGGCTGGATTTTTTCCCCTGGTGTTTAATTTGTGCTGTTCTGTATATACAAGCGACCACCAGATGTGTAGCGGGCAAAGGCCTTATTACCATCTTCTAGGCTCTGGTGCTTCTTTCTTTGCCGAACAGAAGCTTCTTAGTTTCCTGTAATTTCACTCGCTGATTGTTGGCACTATTTGCTCTACAGTGGGCGCTCTGCTCAGGAAGTTCTTGCCTGGGCCTGTAGATCTTGAAGTGGTTTTTTTTTTTTTTTTTTTTTTTGTTTTTGTTTTTTTAGCACTTTCAAAGCTTCAAGACGGACGTTCAAGTCTTTGATCCACTTGGGGTTGATCTTTGTGCAGGGTGAGAGACAGGTTTACTCATTCCCCTAGGTGTGGAAACCATGTTCTCAGCACCCCTTGTCACATGGGCTATCCTTCCTCCAGTGTGTGTTTTTGACACCTTTGTCAAATGTTAGCTAACTAAGGCTTTGTGGGCTTATTTCTGGGTCCTTTATCTGATCCCTTTGATCAACAGGCCTGTTTTTGAGTCAATACCTTGCTGTTTTTGTTCCCATGACTGTGATATGGTTTGAGACAGGTATTTCTGATATCGGCAGCATCTTCCTCTTTCTGACAAGGACCTGCTTCAGATACTCAGCATCTTCTGTCTTTGCAGGAAGCTAAACTGCTGACCTGCCAAAGGAATAAACACAAAAATATGAAAAATGAAAGGTTGTGGGTGTGGGGGGGGGGG